GTGTTAGTTCTATCTACTGTAACATTCGGTGTACACGTGTGCCCTTGTGAATAATCACGTGTAGCCAGTATTCAAAATTAATAAAAAGCAGTGTGCGCCTGCGCAGGACAGGGAGGTTCGTTTTCTTGGTCTCAACGTTCGCTCACTTAGGCTCCGTCCGCGTTTGAATAAGCATAGCTGTATCCGAGTGTTAATTAAATAAATCTTGTGCATTTGAATCTGTACTTCATTTATCAAGCGCCCAGTTCAACAGGTTATGGGCTCAGGGCACAAATCGAACTCGATTCGAATTAAGTAAAGGACAAGCGAGAAACTAGAAGTTGCTGGCAAAAACCCGCGCGTGCTGTGAACATGGCGGAAGAAGTTACCTACGTTCGTGGAATCACGAAATTCAATGGCTCAGACTATACAACGTGAAAATTTGAAATCACACAACTTCTAATGGCTCGAAGATCTCGTCGATGGCTCGCGATTGTGACCAGCCGGCGAACGGACGGCTGCGGATGTAAAGGCGTAGGTCAAGAACAACGCCAAAGCCATGAGCATAATCTCCATATCCATGGAAAGGAAACAGTTACAAGGATTTATTACATGCACAACAGCCAAGGAAATGTGGACAACACTCGAGGGAATATACGAACAGAAATCGGCGTCAAGCAAATTACTGCTGCTGCGACGATACCATGAATATCGTATGAATCCGAGCGATTCCGTTGTGCAGCACGTGACTCATATTCAAAATTTGGTGAGTCAGCTAAAAGACGCCGGTCAGCAAATGGATGACACTGATGTAATGGCAAAGATTTTGGGTTCCCTGCCGCCCAAATATAGTACACTGGTAACGACATGGAACAGTGTTCCAGCGACAAGCCAAACAGTCAACATCCTATTAGAAAGACTGATAAAAGAAGAGGCAAAAATGTCAGCTGAAGAAGATACTGCTAGTGCACTAGTTGCCATGAGTATAACGAGAAGAAAAGGAACAATCAATAAATCGTACTCTAGACATTCGAAGAAAAGTGAAGGTGAAAATGAAAGATCGCAAAAAGAGTGCCACTATTGTAAGAAAAAGGGACATTATATACGCGAGTGTCGCAAGAGGAAAAGAGACTTCTACTCAAAGGACAGAGACAGTAACTACAATAAAAAGTGCAGTGAGTCGATCGCGTTCGTGGTACTGTTCACAGGTGTCGGTGCTATCGGCAGCCATCGTCAGGAGAGATTCAGTGACGAGCTAGTAAGCAGTCTGCTCTCGCTAGATGTCGGTGATTGCTGGATTACCGACAGTGGCGCCTCGCGCCACATAACTTACCGACAAGAATGGCTAACAGATTTTAAGCCCACAAGAGGGCATACAGTGTCACTCGGTGACACTGACGGTCAACGAGAAGTAAAAGGAGAAGGCACCGTGCTCATTGAAAAATGGGTTGATGGACAGTGGTCAAGAGCACAAATCGATAACGTGCTTTATGTACCCGAGCTAAAGAAAAACCTTTTTTCCGTGGGTGTCTGCACCGAGAAAGGTTTCAGGGTTACCTTCGGTGATCGTGCAGTAGTGCTTAAACGCGACAACGTGATACAAGCGGTCGGTCATAAACAGTCTAATAACATATATTGCATGTTTTTTAGAGTAAATGATCAAAGTAGTAAGAGCGAAGTGAACGCGTCTACCACAAGTTTACGTGAGTGGCATGAGAGATGGACATATAAATAAGCAACTCTTGCGTAGTATCGTGGACAGAAAGATTGTCGACGGAGTGAAGCTATCAAATAAAAACGACTTCTTCTGTGAGTCGTGCCAACTTGGAAAATCTCATCGATTACAGTTCGAGAAGAAGACTGACAAGGGATCGTGGAAGCCAGAAGAATATATACACACTGATGTATGCGGTCCTTTTTCTGTTACGTCCGTTAGTGGATCAAGGTATTATTTACTGTTCATTGACGAGGCAAGTAACTACAGAGTAAAGTACTTTATTAAGCATAAATCTGACGTCGTTGACAAACTAAAAGATTTTGATAGACTATTAGAAAACAAGTTTGGTTACAAAATTAAAGTCATCTGAGCGGATAACTGACGTGAATACTGCAACAGTGCGATGAAAAATTATTTGAGGTCTCGTGGTATTAGATTAGAAAATACAGCACCTTACACGCCCAAACAAAACGGAAAGGCAGAGCGTGAGAATAGAACCATTGTTGAATGCGCAAGAACAATGATCCGTGCTAAAGAGCTGCCTCTCAAGTTATGGGCGGAGGCTATCAATACTGCTGTGTATTTGTTGAACCGCACACTTGAAGCGAAAGACAAAACAGTCACACCGTATGAGATGTGGTGAGACAGAAAACCAAACTTGTCACATGTCAGAATTTTTGATACAGATGCATACGTATATATAGATAAATAATTTCGTAATAAGTTGGATCCAAAAGCGAAGAAATATATGTTAGTCGGATATCAGGATGACTCTACAAATTATCATTTATATGATTCTACAACAGACAAGGTCACAGTATCCAGGAATGTAACCTTCAACGAGTGCCAGTGACGATGCCATCCACGGGTACCAGTATCGATATTCATCTTCCACTCGAAGACACTCAAGTATAGGACAATACTGAAGAGGTTATAACGGATGTGGAGAGTGAGGTCTCAGAAGTAGGAGAACCTGAGGCCAGCACGGAGGAAGTCAGAAAACAAGCTGCGAGGACCAGGCAACCTGAAGTACAACCCAGAGTTAAGAAAGTGAAATCCAGGACTGTGCCAACCGAAACGCCCTCCCAAAGGAAGGAACGACAATTCCGAGATAGAGGGTCAATACGACCACATCCAAGGTACGATGTAAACTTCGTACATTGTAATATACCACTGACATTTCAAGAAGCAGTGAACAGTCCCGAGGCGGAAGAATGATCTAATGCAATACAAGAAGAGTTAGATG